GTTTGCAACGTGATATTACGCACAGCAACATACCTTTATCTTCTTAGAAGCAAAAAGTTAAGAAAAACTACTATAAAGAGCTAACGGTGAACCCTTTGGGTGAATCAAGGGAAATCAAGGATAAATTTGGGGTCTTTCGATAACATCCGTATATTATAAAGTTGACTCACTAAAGGAAGGTCTGGTGGCCATAGTCCTTGTTAGTTGGACTGGAAACATTAGAGACAGCCAGCTTCCAGCGCCTGGACTCCGATCCAGCTTCTCATGAGAAACATGAACAAGTCTTCTCTCTATTTGGTTTCGTTTCAGAAACCAACCATTATCATCCGCTAGTTGACAGTGTGTGAGAGTCACTATAGAAAATGGGCAGCAAGGAGCAGGTTCCTTATTCACCTATGTGTTTCAGAGTAGAAGTACATGGAATTTTCAAGGCAGCCACCTTTCCAGAAAAGAGCTCTAGTGATGTCTCAAAATGAAGAAAACACAAATCCATAGGCAGCATCAGGATGTATGGAGGAAAACGGAAGTTGTTAACAATTTCATTTTACTTGGCTCCACAATCAACATGCATAGTAAGAGCAGTTACAAAATCAAAAGGCGTGTTGCACTGGGAAAAGGTTGCTATCAAGGACCTTTCAAAGTGCTGAAGACCAAGGATGTCAGTTTAAAGGCTAAACTGGGCTGTATTTTTCCATTGCTTCCTATGCGTGTGAAGGTTCGACAATGAGTAAGGATCACTGAAGAATTGGTGCGTTGCATTGTGGTGTTGGAGAAAAGTACTGAACATCCTGTGGGCTGCCAAAAGAGTAAGTTTGTTTTGGGAACAGTTCAACCAGAGTGCTCCAGAGAGGCAATGATGGTAAAACTTGATAACGCATACTTTGTGCGTGTTGTCAGAAGGGACCAGTGAGTCCTTGGAAAGTTAGAGGGTCAGAGAAAAAAGACAGGAAGACTCTCAACAAAATGGGTTAACACAATGACTTTAGCAGTGGTCTTGAGCTTATCAGAAATAAGAATGGTGCAGGAAATGGCAAGTTAGATCTGTTGTTGATAGGGTCTCTATGAATTGTAGTCTACTCAAGGTTACTCAAATCTACATAAGTGAAGTACTGAATAACTAACTAAATCTATTCGTTTTAATCCACTAACTGATCCCAGGAGCAAAATGAGGCCGTCTCTTCCCGTCAAGATTTATTATGACTGAACGAATGTGATGGTAGTGGGTTTGGGATACCTTTCAGAAGCTAGTTCGTTGAATTTTCTTCTAAGGCACCCCTAAGCATTTGTACCACGCAGAGACTCCTATGACAAAGACCTTTCCACAAATTTCCTCAAAATTGGGTTTAATCTTTACATTTAAATTAAGAGCAAGTTTAAAAATAAAAACAACTACCTGCGTATATGCGCCTTTTTTCCCCTTTGGTAGGCTTTTCTTACAGAGCTTCGTGTCTAGTGGTTTAGTAGGAAAGAGGTGTGCAGAGGTTAGGTTCCACTATGCTGGAGAAAGATGGACAGCCTCCTTCCGTGCAATTTACTGCCTAAAAAAACCTTCTGGAGGGTCACAAACACCTTTCCCTACACACAGTTAATCTATTAATTTTTAAACGGAATAGAAATGATTGTCATTAACTCTTTCTAGTAACATTATAATAACTACAGAGAGATTGTGCCTAAAAAGTTGGGCAAAGCCAGGATCTCGAAAAGCTCAAGCTCATTATTATTGAGTTGCAACTGAGTGTGACTCACCAAGGCGTTTCTTAGTTTATAAATTGCAATGGGAGGTGATTTGAACTGTCAGAGAGGAATGGCCTTTGAGTTAGCCTGCAACTCTCTACACTACTACACTACTAGTTCTCTAGGGCCAGAGGCTGTACTAAAAATAAAACTACAACTTCCAGCATACTTTGCTCCCTCTTCCGCCGGGCAATTCACGGAAAGGGAAAACTTCGGGCTCCTGGGGTCATAGAAGGAAGGCTGGGGGGGGGGGGCGCGGGAGAGATGCGCATGCGCAGAAGCAGCGGCCCTACGTACGGCTCCATTTCCTTTGGGTGGCTCAGCTTGTGTCACGTGAGGACTGGGACCAATGAGGAGCTTTGGGTGACGGTAGACTCACAACCTCTGGTTACTTCTGAGGGTGTGAAGCTGCTGTGTACCCCTTTTGTGGATTCCTCACTTCTCGGCCTGGTCCCCAAGAGCGCAGGTGAGACCAGGATGTTGTGTGGAAAGCGGCCACCTCGGCCTGGTACTGATGGCTCTCCGCCTTCCAACCCCCTTTTGGGGCGGGGAGGGGCCCGGCCGGGATGTCGGTGTCAGGGAGGCAGCGGAGGCTCAGGCGCCTGCGCCCCTGGAAACGTTGAAGTAGGGGGGTCCCCAAAGGTCTGCCCTCCTCTTCCCTGTGGACCTCAAGAGTAGAGAGGCTCCTTTGGAGAACGTTCTTGGAATGTAGTTAACAAAGAAGGCCCTTGATTGTTGCGGGCGGTGTCCTTAGGGGACTCCCGGAAGCCCTTAGGTAACTTGAGGACGAGCTATGTTCCTTCTCATCCTTGTTCTTGAGCCAGAGGGAAGAGGAAGCATCAGAAGCCTACGGTTTGAAGAACGGAAAGTTTTCTAGGCCTCTAAGCTTAATGACTGGTTAGCCTTTCAGAATGTGGTGAACATTCAGAGTCGCTATTGTGAATTCCATCTGTTTGGGGTTTTTCCCAAATTTTGGGCTCTTAACATCCCGAGAATAAACACTCGTCTATGTCTCGAGTAAGAATAGGCCTTGACATACAAGTTCATTTCTTAATACCCGATTTTCAATCTTGTAGGATATGAATATGAGAGAATATAGCTTAGTGGTAAGGAGTTGCGCTGCCAGCCCAAAGGCATGCAGTTCAAATCCGCCAGCTACTCCGAGGGAGAAAGATACATACATTCCAGGAGATTTAATGCTTCTGTAAACCCGCTGGAGGGTCACCTATGCTCCACTATGTACACAACAAGATCATATAGGGATCATAGCTGACCCACTTTTTTCTAGGGAGGTAGTGAGTGGGAGTCAGAAATTCTTTATTTAAAATATAACTCTGTTAGCTTTTTGGCATTTTAAAGGAGCTTACAATTTTTTGTGGGTTTATTAAAAAACTCCAATATAGGTATCTTTTGAAGTTTATCATAATTTGAGCACAAACCATAACACCCTCATTTGACATTAAATATATTAAACACGTCTTGTGTTCCTGGCTTTATGTTAATACTGTTATACAAAAATGCAATTCAGTATACTTTCCCACTGCATTTTCTGTAAAGAAAAAGAAATTGCAAGTGAAATTTGCCAAGAGGCTCTCTCAGCTCAACAGACATTTACAGATGGAGCCTGCCTGGGTAGGCAGAAGCCTAGTGAAAAAGTTAACTCTATGCAGAATTTTTTTTTTTTTTTTTGGGGGGGGTGTGTTTGTTTTTGTATACAGGGTTTTTTGTATGGTCTTTAAGAACAATATGCAAATACAGCTTGCCAAAATACATGTATTCCTGCTTTGGTAAGCAAGTAATAAGTCTTTTTTTCTGGAGAATTTAACCCAAAGGTTCCACTAGATAGCACAGAAATTGCTTGGTGCTAGTTGTTAAAGTTAAATGCCTTCTAAGCCACTGACTCATTAAGTCCGTAAACAGTCCATCTGAACTTTGCCGTATTCTGTACCATCCTCACAATCTCTGATATACTTGAGGCCATTTTTAAAATTTATGTTTAAGTCCATCTCCTTAAAGATCTTCCCTTCCTCTCTCCCCATCTTCCCAGGATGATGTAATTTCCCCCCTACACTTGTCCTTCCTAAAAACATACCCAAAGTATGTAAAATGTAGGTTTATCATCCTTGGCTTTAAGGAGGATTCTGTTTGCACTTTTTAAAATTACAGACTTGTTTATTCTTTTGGAAGGCCATGGAATATTCAGTACTCTTCTCCAACATTATTCAAAGGCATTGATTCTTCTTCAGTCATCCTTATTTATTGTCCAACTTTCACTTGCCTAGAAAACAATTAAAAAGATCATGGCTTGGATCAGACACACCACAGTCTTTAAACTGATATCCTTGCTGTTTGGAATTTGATTCACTGTTCCTTATATTTTAATAAAATAATTTTGGACCTAAAACTAATCTTATTTGAGCAAAGATAATGGGAGGGGGAATCTGACTTTTGTTCAACCCTGCTCTGTGTTGAATAGTTTAGTAGTGTGTGTAGGTATAAAAATCTCTGTATCTTACTATTTGCAATTCTATTTTGCTTTACTTCCCTTTTCTTTTGGTAAAGAATACATATTGTTGATAGGTACTATCATTTAAGATAACTCCCAAGCAGGTGATATGTTCAACATATTATCCTTGCTTTCAAAAAAACTCAGACTCACTTCCTTCAAGTTGAGTTGGTTCTGATCCTTGACAACCTTTTATCATCAGCTTTCCAAGGCTATAAATAATAACAGGCAGAGACTGCATATTTTTTTTCCCCATAGAGTCTGCTGGTGGATTCAGACTGCCAGATGCACTCTAAGGACTATGTTACCAGAGCTCCACATATCTTGGTTTTAATGTAGTAAAACAAAAGTGTCTAAAATTACTCTAATGTCCTTTTTGAGTAGTATGATTATAATCTCTTGAAAATTAAATTTAATAAAAGCTCTTAAACAAGTGCTTGAGTAGAATTTGTAGTTGTTAGGATTTTTTAAAATGAAAGTGTAAATTTTGCTTATTGTTTGTAACCTTTTCCTAACATAAATCTCAGGACCAGTGCTAAACTGTACCGTGGAGAAAAATTGAGATGATGAATCTGTTGACATGTATTCAAAAGTGATGTAATAATAATCTATTAAAAATGAAATTTTAAAACATGTAAGGAAAACCTCTTGAACATTAAGTACTTGAGTATCAGCTGAATATGTATTACTTAAAATTTTTGAAAATGAGAGCATATGCTTATTTGTAATTTATTTTTCCCTAATGTATAAATCTTCTCTTACCAAGGTTGAACTGTACCATTTAGAAGAATGGAAGGTGATGCGTCTGTGGAAATGTTTTCGAAAGTCCTAGAGAATCAGTTGCTTCAAACTACCAAGTTAGTAGAAGAGCATCTCGATTCTGAAATTCAGAAATTGGATCAGATGGATGAGGATGAATTGGAACGCCTCAAAGAAAAGAGACTTGAAGCACTAAAGAAAGCTCAACAGCAGAAACAAGTAACCTCTCTGCCCTGCTTTCTGAAATTGCTATAACAGTATGCGTTGTTAACAACTTATATCTACATGTGTTATAGTAGTTATGTTTTCTTTCAGGTCCTTAATTCTTAGTATATTTTGAACTGGAAGTACTCATTAGAAACATTATGCGTGGGGTTTTAAAAAAGGGGGCATTGATAAATTTGCCTAGCCAGTACATTAATCCATAATTAAATCAAATGATAGATCTTGACAAGAGAATTTGCAGGACTCAGAATTTTAAACTCTGGACAAAATAGACTAGCAAGAGCAGTTTAATCACTAGGAGACAAGAATTTGCCTTTCACATAGTTCTAAAGCTTGTCATAATTTAGTTGTCTTCAAAGTAGAAATTAAAAATGAAATTATAAAGCAGTATACATTGAAGATGTTATTCTAGGCATTTCCAGTGTAGCATTTAACATACTGGTCACAAAGAAGTAGTTTCAGTTCTGTCCTTCCTGATGTTGATGGGATAAGCTCATTGTTGTAGACTCCGATAGAAATGAGTTAAGTTGTGTAAATTAAATTTCTAATTTATACTAACTGTTCCTGTTAGTTTCAGTTATATTGACATTCCTAATTATCACCTTTGGTTTGTCTTCAGTTAATTGCAATAGTTTTAACTTTAGTGAGGAGTTTTATTTGTGCTCTTGTAGCATCTCTTTAAAATTTATGATTTTAAAACCATACATTATTTTTTTAGTAGACTTCTTATACTTACTAAGCAGAGGTTAGATTATTGGAGTTTACGAATTTAAGATGATATGTGATTAGACCCTGCCACAAACTCATATTTTGCTGTCACAGTGAAGTACTTTGTTAATTACTAGTGCTCAACTGAAAAAAAAGAAAAGTCGTAGCTATGACATTTTTTTAGAAAGACAATGTCTGATGTGCATTGAGAAAATATTAAATGACATTTGAAGTAAAGTCAGCAATTCAGAGCAACAATCTGAATAATTGTATTTTAAAAATAATCACAATCAGTGGGAAAGGGTGAGCAGGGAGAAAAATGCAACAATGAATGAATGGAAATCCAAAATCTCTGTAAATGTTCATTAAAATTAATAAAATTTTTTAAAAAAGTAAAAAGTAATCACAATCAGCATACTTTAGATCTTTCTATTCATAGTTTAAGATTAATTTGTCATGGAGTAACTCAGATTCTAAGAACTTTTATTGTATGTGATGCATCACTTTTATGGAAATGTTTTGTGAGAAAATAGACAAGAAGCAGTCAGATGGGCTGTAACTCCTAGTAAACCTGTGTACCACAGAAGAGGAAATGCCGCCCAGTCCTATACAATTGTCACAGTCGGTGCTGTGTGTGAGCCCATAGTTTTAGCTCCTCGGTCAGTCCATCTCATTGAAGGTCTTCCTCAGTAAAAGTACCCTTTTGAGAGAGTAATGTAGATTATGTAGTAATTATGTAGTTTTTCTGATCTACAAGTGTGAGAGAAATCAAGACATGAGACATGGCATATTACCTTGTTCTGTCAAAGTCATCTCATGATAATGCCAAGTTTTACATAATAGACTTGTTCTGTAGGAGTCTCTGACTAGCAGTTCTCTTTACCAAAGTAGATCACCAGGACTTTGATCTCACAGTATCACTGGGTGGGTTTGAACCACCAGCCTGTCGGTTAGTAGCTGTTTGAAAGGTGAGATGTTCCTCATTTAATAGCCCTTCATCAATATCAATCTATTCCTCTGTCCTCCGAGCATCTTGCTATTGTGGCAACTGGGGATGAACCACTTGGATAAGGAATAGAAGGATGAAGTGAGACGAACTTAAGAGGCTTCATTGATATCCTGTAAGAAAGCCATGTGCTATCCAACTGTTATTCCCTCCAGTAGATTCAAATTGAGCTGTAATGCATGCCTGCCGTAGTTTGATTCTGTCCAGTGGATGCCTACAGAGCACATGTTCTGTGAAAAGAACTGTGCTAAGAGTGTGGGGGTGTGATGTGTGTCTCAGGAAAGATGTCAGGTGCTGATGGAGGGTCGGTGGGCTTGCTTTCTATGGAATTTGGACAGGTTCAGGTGCTGATCCTACTGTGTAAGCATATGAGAATAAAAAAAAAACCCACACCAGCTTTTTACAGAAACATCAGAAATAGCTATCTTTTTCTAAAAAAGAGTACATATTCTTGTCATTCTTTTGCACAGAGATACTGGTTTTGGCACAGTGACGGCAACAGTGGAGTTAAGTGCAGCAGAGATTGTGAGAATGGTGCGAGATCTAGCAGTGTATTCTCATCTTGTACCTGTCTGTGAGTTAGGGCTGACTCAGTAACACCTAACAACATACTCTTAGAGAATCAAGGAGTCATAAGATGTTCTGTCCTTAAGGACTTGTATTGGAGTGTTTAAGCTGTCTTTAGAAACTTTACCACTGTGTAAGGAGAAAGCCTCAGACCTTCTGTGAGTGTCAGAGTAATGTATGCCAATGTGAGATGACTTGCAATCAATCTGTTAATGCTTCCTGGATGGTAATAACTGAAGTCCAGAGCATCAGAGGAGATTGCACTCCCTCTCTCCTGTATGGGCCATTTCTACAGTTCTTTGTCCTGTTTTAAAAGGACAGGGACAAATTAGTATTTTCCAACAAGGACCATAAGAAAAACAAGATGTCTAGAAAAAATTTCATGTGAAAAATAGTCACAATAAACTGGAAATGTTTAGTCTGGAGAAGAAAAGACTTAGGTGAGATGTGCTGTTTGAAGAGTGGCATGTAAAAGAGATTTTCATTTTTCCTGTGATCTTAAATCCAAGGTAGAATCCAGTGATCAGGGATAGGATATACTTCTCATCAGTGTGTGAAGGGCTTAATAAATGTTAAATAATATTTGTGCAGGTGTTTTAAGTACATATGTCTCATTTTCTAGGAGAGATGTGGTAGCATAGTCCCTAGGGGATTGAACTACTAATCCCAATTGAATGCCTCCCTGGTGGTTTGAATCTACCATCGGCTTGGAGGAAAAAGGAAGGACATTCTCCTCCCATGCATATTACAGCCAGAGAAAACCCTCTGGAGAGCCAGCTACAAGTTTATTTTGACTAAATAACATTAAGAGAGTCTCCATTTCATTTTCACAACTCAGTCAGATAGTTACTTCCTGACTTTACAGGTCAGAAAATTTGTGCTCAGAGGTTATTGGAATTTATAATTTAATAGAACAGGTATTCAAACTCGTGCCTTCTTCTACCTGCAACACCTGTGTCACTTTTCATTATTAAAACTGCCTCTCTAAGAAAAACAAATGAGAATCTAGTTGAGATGCTAAACTTTCTTTCTTGGAAAAGATTTCAAGAAGCAGGAAGGTAACCCACTTTCCAGCTTTTAAAAATAAAAAAAAAAAAAGAAACAGGAAGGTGATGCATGGTTCTTTAAGGATTCATGTATTGATTTTGGAAATTGGATTAGATGATTTATGATTATTTTGGACACCAAGTAGACAACCTTCTTCCTAGGGCAATGTTTCTGTCCTCTGGTGATGGATATAGAAGAGTTTCTTGCCTCTTTGAGACAGTGAAAGTGAATAAGGCTGCTGTAATATCCCTCTTCCCTCCAAACTGACATCATCTCATCCTGTTTGCTGGTTTTGTAATGTTTGTTGTTGAGAATATACACAGCAGAACATGTACCAGTTGAGCAACTTGGAACAAGTCGGTGACTGTTAGTGTATATTGTTTGAGTTGTGTGACCAACTTTACCCTTTGTCTGGGTTGTTCCTTTCCTAGGAACATAATCTGCTAAGTTTCTTCGATAGTATTTGGAGTTGCTGTTATCATTTTGATCCATTTATAAAATGAAACTCATTGCCATCAAGTTGATTCTGACTCAGATAGAACTGTCCCCATAGTTTCAGAAACTGTCCTTTAATGAAGAAAATTGTCTCATCTTTCTCTCACAGAGT